GCATGTATTGCTGACCAATATCATTTTGGTTTTGAAATGTGTATCTTATCATATTACATGTATTCACTATATGAAATTTACATAAATATTGTCATACTACATGTATTCCTCTGACTTGGTTTTTCACCCGTGGTTGTATTTTTGAGCTCCCCCATGTTGATGCAGGCAGCTGAGGTTCATTCACTTTCACTGCATGATCGCATTATTTGTTGGACATGTCAGATATTAATACAGGTAGTCTCCAATTTACGACGGATTCGAGTTACCACAAACCGCACTTATGACCATCCTTTTTTTTTTTTTGTACATCTTATTGTTAGTAATATGTACTACATACAATGTTGCATTGTGTAATTTGCTGATGTTATCATTCTCAGATATAATGTTTCCAACCCTCAAAGACAAAGATCGGATTTATAAAGGTACTGATAATAAAAGGCAATAATAATGAAAACTTAAAAAAAAAAAAAGGTGTTCGACTTATGTTAGAACCAACTTATGACAGTCTGAATAGAGTCCCGTTGGAAATCGGGGACTACTTGTATAGCACCACGAACTTACTTTTGGCTAGTTACCTAGTATACATTTATCTAGCCTTTGACTTAAAGTTTCTGTGTATTATGCTCCAGCAAATCTTGATGGCAACATATAGTTAGATTTGTTTATTTTTAAAATGCTGACCTGAAAATCTTTGTGTTTTAGTTGAGATACTCAGTGGAATTACAAACATGTTTGGGGGAAAATATGCCATCTTTCTTTCTACTTCCTGTTTCTCTGTTTTTCTATTTCTCTCCCTTTTCGCCTCTTTTTTCTTGCCTTCTTTTGGACTGATTGAGTCCCCATTCCCATTTCATCCCTCCCACAGGATAAACCTTAAAAGTTTATTTTAAACATAGAATTCTAAATCAAGTCAAACTATGAAAGTGTGAGAAAATACACCAACGTTCATTGTAGCATTTTTCATGAATAGCCAAAAGATGGAAATGACTTAAATGACCATCATCAGAGGAATGGGTAAACATGACCATGACGTGGTACACGTGTACCTCAAACATGAAGAGAAGTGAAGTTCTGACAAATGCTACAACATGGATGGACCTTAAAAACATTATGCTGAGAGAAGTAAGTCATTCGCAAAAGGACAAGTACTGTATGATCTCACTTACATGAAATAAGTAAATAAATACATAGAAACCAAGGATTATTAGTGGTATGGAGGTAGGGAAGAGAGCAGAAAAGGAGGAGTTTTTGCTTAGGGGGCACTGAGTTTATGTTAATGGTAGTGGAATAATTCCGAAAACGATCATGACAATGGTTGCACAACATGAAGAATGCAATCAATGTCACTGAATCATACATGTAGAAATTGTTGAAGCGGCAAATGTTTTGTTGTCTATATTTTCACCATTATAAAAATTAAAAAAAAAAAAGTATGAGAGAGTAAATACAATGTAAGGAGTCAAACAATGCACTTCCCACACCCCTTGTCTTAGGAAGTCACATGCGATTGTGCGCTAGCCAAATGGGAGAGTATCCCATGAACAAGGATGACCTGGAATCTAGAAAAACCAGGGGAGAAATAAAGAAAAGTTCCAGAAGGATAGAAAAACAGCAGGTCTATCAGTCTAAATTGGAGTGAGAGGGTGGAGCTTTCAAGAAGCAGCTATTCAGGGAAAACAGAATTCCAAAGGTTTGAAGCTATCCTTGAGGAGATGACCAAAACAGGTAAGGTAAGAAGAAAATGAAAAC